ATAAATTGATGGTTGTCGAATGCCTGCAACAAACAATGGGTTAGTAACAAGAGAAAGGACGAGTATGAGACGCGCGACCACCCTCCGCGACGGTTCACGACAAAGTGAGGAAGCAAGCACAGACCTGCACGGGATGGTACGACCTTGGTACACGGCGTACACGGCTAAGTCAATAAACTGGGTGACGCAACTCACTAGCGCGTTGGATCGACGGAGAGCACCGATACTCGGCACGCTCTACCGTACTCTCTCGCTCGCACACCTCCCTCCCATAGACCACCGAAATTCCTCGGCACCCGTCAACACCGACGGAGAGCACCGATACCGCGGCTCGCTCTACCGCTCTCGCTCGCACGCCGTGACGTCACCCGATTCCCGGAAGCTGCGAGATGGTTCATTACGGTAAGGCATTCAAAAAAATTTGGCTTACAAATTGTAAGCCACCGACCAAAAGGTAGATTCGATAGACTATTTATGAAGCTACATCTATTCTGAATTTATCTGTTACAAATATACAAATTTAAGGCAAGATATAAAAACGAATAAAACAAGAACATGTAAAAAGTAACATTAATAAAATGTCCATTAACGATGCATTAGAATAAATTGTTTTGTAGTTAAGTGAAAAAATATATACTATTCCCGTCAAATCATATACATATACGCAATATGAATGGAATATACAACACTTCATTTGTGCTAATAATACTCAGAATCCATGCTTTATCGGTCACGTCGGGTATTGACACTAAAATGGTAAGGGGGCTTCTGACGCCCTCGAAGCATGGGACAGAAAATTACATTGCATGTTAGGTCTATTATTATATCTCGTCTGTGATTGAAGTGTATTCCGTGTATTCAGATTGAGTTACATGAGAAGCTCGGAAGGTGCTGGTATCGTGTAAATCACATTTTCAGTGTCGCATAACCTTAACTTCTATCTGGACATGTGTGTAAAACTGAAACATCCGTAGGAATTACTTGTTTTGTAAATATAACTTATTTAAGCCATAAAACAATTCCAAGGGAAAATTGAAAATGGCAAATGAAACGGAAGACACGGTAAGTCATAAGACACATCGGGAACGCAATGCCGGCCGTAAAGCCGAGAAGAAGAAAGCGAAAAAGGAACACGTTCAGGAGCTGACAGACAAACAGAGGAACCCAAAAGCGTTCACTTTTCATTCCGCGATTAAAGCAGAAAGACGGTTCAGGCGTAAACAGGATATAGAAACGAAAAAACAGCACATACCTTTAATTGATCGAACTCCCCTCGAACCACCGCCGGTTTTGGTCGCCGTCGTTGGTCCACCAAAAGTGGGAAAGTCTTTGGTAATTCAGTGTCTGATCAAAAGTTATGTAAAACAACCATTGACGAACATACTTGGTCCAGTTACAGTTGTTTCTAGCAAGAAAAGAAGGATTACTTTTATGGAGTGTAATAATGACATTAACAGTATGATAGATATAGCTAAAGTAGCAGATTTGGTACTGTTGCTAATAGACGGTTCGTTTGGCTTTGAAATGGAAATCTTTGAGTTTTTAAATATATGTCAAGTTCATGGTATGCCCAGGATTATGGGAGTTTTGACTCACTTGGATTTGATCAAAAATGCGAAACTATTAAAGAGAACCAAAAAAACTTTGAAACAACGTTTCTGGACTGAAGTATACGCTGGAGCAAAATTATTTTATCTATCTGGTTTACTTCACGGAGAATATTTACGTACAGAGGTTAAAAACTTAGCTAGGTTTATATCCGTAATGAAGTTCAGGCCGTTAACTTGGCGTAGTACACATCCATATATTCTGGCTGACAGAATAGAAGACTTAACTCCTCCAGAATGGATTAGGCAGAATCCAAAAAGCGACAGAACCATCAGTTTGTATGGGTGTGTAAACTTTACTACGTATAATCGTGTCTAATGTGTTATAAGTTGATGGTCATTTTATATTTGTACTTACAGGTATGTGAGAGGAGTTCCTCTGAACAAGGAAACTTCCATACATATTCCAGGATGCGGTGATCTCAAAATTAAGGATGTCAGTTTCTTGCCAGACCCTTGTCCTTTGCCCGGGGAACTGAAAAAGCGTGCATTAGTAGAGAAGGAACGTCTAATTTATGCACCTTTTTCTGGTGTCGGTGGAATAGTTTACGACAAGGACGCTGTTTACGTAGAATTAGGCGGCAGTCATTCTCACAAAGAAGAAGATACTGGTCTGGTCGGAGCTCTGATGGATACACGAGAAACTTTAGATCAGAAACTGCAACGTAGCGAGCTGCAGGTCTTCAGTAATACCGCTCCGATAAAGTCGGAAGATGTGAAAGCGAATTTTGGCGATTATGTTGGACAAACTATAATCGACAATGGCAGAGTTAGAAGAAAGGTTGTGTTTACCGATTCCGAAGAATTAGTAACACCATCAAATGATACATTCGATGATAGCGACCATGAAAGCGATGATGAAGAATCGGAGCATGAACGAGAAAAGGAAGAGAAAGAAAATGAGAAGGAAACCGATAGCGAAGATGAAATGACACGGAATACGAAGGGTATAAAGAGAAAAAAGAAAAGTAGCAAACTAGGAGTCAAACGTAAAAGGAATAATTCGACAGGTAACTTAGACTCGGATGACGAAGACATCGATATGACGGAACGAAACTCTACGGATTCTACCAAACCCGGAGCTTTAAATGTATCCAATAATACAGAAATTTACCATTCGACAAGCAAGGAATCTGACATAAAGATAAAGCACAAGATAACCGAAGCGCTTAGTCTACTGAATTCGTATACAAGCAAAAAGAAGGATTCGAATAGCGAGAGCGAGAGTTTCGACGAGCTCAGCGACGAAGATTCGCGCGTTAAACTCGAGAAAGATAACGAAGAGGAAGAAATTGATTTTTCGCAGGAATCTTCGTCCCAAGAAGATGAAGATGATAATGAAAACGAGGAAAATGATTATAAGATCTCTGGTGCAGGTGACGGGATCGAAGACGAGGAAGATGTCGAAGACGAATTTAAATGGAAGTCGAATTTAACCGAAAAAGCTAAGAACGCTTTCGAAGTTCGTCAGCGAACCAACAAGAACTTAATGAAATTGGTGTACGGAACGTTCGATAAAAGGTACCTCGTGCAAGAAACTGGAAACGATAAAGGGAAAGAAGCCGAGGACCACGGTAACGAAATCGGCGGAATTTTCCACATGGTCCAAGAGCAAGAAAAACATAAAATCCAAGAGCGAGAACTGCAGAATCAGGAAGAATCCGTATTCTTCCCTGGGGCACCGCAAGATTGGTTAAAAGAGGACAACAAGTTGCTCGTAACGAATCGTTTCGTGACAGGAAAATGGAAAGAATCGGAGGATGCTGAAGAGCTTCTGAAATTGGATGACATGAACGACGAGGACATGTACGGAGATTTCGAGGACTTAGAAACTGGGGAGAAGCACCAATCGGAGGCGCCGAAGGAGTCGACGACAGATGAAATGGAAGAGAAGAGGAAACTTATTGATAGGAAGAAAAAATTGAAGGAACAGTTCGATATGGAATACGACAACGGCGAAGGTAAAACGTATTATGACGAATTGAAGCAGGAGGTCGAGAAGCAAGCGAGCCTGAACAAATCAGAATTTGAAGGAGTGGCAGACGACATTAGGGTCCAGTTGGAGGGCTACCGTCCGGGAATGTACGTACGTGTTGAGATAGAAACCGTGCCTTGCGAGCTGGTCACTCATTTGGACCCTACATACCCGTTGATCATCGGAGGACTTTTACACGGTGAAGAAAACATCGGATACGTGCAGACGAGAATCAAAAAGCACCGATGGTACGCGAAAATTCTGAAGAGTAGAGACCCATTGATACTTTCCGTGGGCTGGAGACGATTCCAGTCGCTGCCGATTTTCTCCAAGTTGGAAGACAACTTGAGAAGCAGAATGTTGAAGTACACACCGGAACATGTCGCTTGCATGGCACATTTTTGGGGTCCTATTACACCGCAGAATACTGGAGTTTTAGCCGTTCAAGACGTTGCTAGCAGAGCGCCGGGATTCAGAATAGCCGCGACCGGTTCTATCGTCGAGATAGACAAGAGCACGCAGATCGTTAAGAAGTTGAAATTAACCGGCGTCCCTATGAAAATATATAAAAAGACTGCGTTCGTCAAAGATATGTTCAACACCAGCCTCGAAGTGGCAAAGTTCGAGGGGGCCAAGATAAAGACGGTTTCCGGTATACGTGGTCAAATAAAGAAAGCAGTTTCGAAGCCAGAGGGTTGCTTCCGTGCGACCTTCGAGGATAAAATACTTCTGAGCGACATCGTTTTTTGTCGCACTTGGTACAATGTCGACGTCCCGAAATTCTATAACCCCGTAACTTCGTTGTTATTGCCACCTGAAGAAAAAAATCATTGGTTGGGAATGAAAACAATTGGACAGCTGAAGAGGGAAAAAAGCATTCGTATGCCCGCCAAAACGGATTCCATGTACACGAACGTCGAACGGGAACCAAAGGTGTTCAGACCACTGTCTATTCCACGAAGTTTGCAGAAGGATCTTCCGTATCGCGATAAGCCAAAAGTAATGCAAACTGCTGGAAATCGCAAGCTGAAAGACGGCAGGGTAGCCGTGGTGCGCGAACCGAAAGAGGAAAAAGTGGCAAGACTTATGGAAATGATCAGAACTAATTACGCTCACAAACAGAAACAACTGAAGGAGGCTATGACGAAACGAATTGAAACGCACCAGGCCCAGATCGCCGTGGAAGAAGCACGAAAACTGAAAAGACAGAAGGAACTGAAGAAACACGTGTTCAGAGAACTTAGTAAGTTGGAGAAAAAGAAGAAACGGTAATATAATTGCTAGACATGACGAAATGCATTATATTTTTGCATTGTTCTCGATTGATAACGGAATTTTAGAGCTTTTCGTTCACGCATCATTTCCCATGTATGATCTGTATTATATTATGTATGTTTATGTATGTAAAATAAATTGTTTTATATTTACAAAAACACTGTTGCACCGTTATCGAAGTAACGGAACTTGTCAAAATATCGATTTTATTGCGAACATTTGGATAAGTTACAATATAATTATATATTAGCAAAATATATTAGTCCGTAGAAAATAGTAACAGTTTTTATATGCAATGGTTCTTACAATATAGCTTGCGATCCGCGCCATGACGCAATCGTATGATGTCCCGTTGAATAATTATCTCCACCCTGGAATCGATAACCGTATACGTATGCACATACACATCGAAATATTTTAACAAACTTTTAATCCCTTTCGGAACAGTCACATTATTACCTGCGTTAGCATTAATAACTCGTCTTGCGTGTCAACGATCTTAACTGGGAACGGAGAGCCCGGAACCAAAACGCCTGCCCAGCGAACTTCGACTCTATAATCGCCCGGTTCCGTCGGATCGTATCGACAGAGTATTATCCGATCCTTTTGAGTTTCTCTTTGCATTTCTACTCTGAATGCTCCTTTAGGTCCACGGACTCTCACCGTGAGTTGGCCAGCACCTGCGCCACGAGTGTCGCAGATAAAACGCGATTGAAACGTTGCTAATACTCCGTGTTCGATTCCTGGCCCATATACTCGTACCTAACAATTCAAAGACATTTTTAACTAGTAAATAAGTCTTTCATTTGTTACTTTCATTAATTAAGTGTGAGAATATAGATTCGAATTTAGTATGTATTTTGAGCCCTGGTAACATAAGACATTTTAAGTTACCTTCGAAGCGTCCGGAGCACCGGAAACACGCAACGTAAAAGGCGAACCTGGAACATGTTCCCCTGCGTATTTAATCGTTAACGCATGCCGTCCAGCTTCCTGCGGTTTTACGTTCAGCGTGAAAGTTGCATCCCCGTGGTCGTACAATTCGCAGTAAGCCACTTTGTGGGGACCAACACAGTGCGCCGTTAATTCGCCTGGACACCGATTTATTTGATTATTTTATGGATTTATATTTCTCTTAAATTATATTAGGTATGTATGACTTTGTTAATTATATTAAAGAAATAATTTGCAGTTTCGAACACAAGGTATTTACCGGGCCCTGCGCGTCTTGTATCGATGAAACTTCTAATTTCTTGTCCAACTATGCCATTTTTTAATCCGTCTCCGGAGCAAATGACTCGCGACGCGTCGGCCGCGCTTGTTACGTTGATTTGCAAAGGACATCCTTTTAGTTGCCTTCCGTTCCACGATACGGTCATCAACAGAGGATCGGGAGTCAGAGGTATGTAACTTGCACGATAAACAGAGTCCCCTGCGCGTCAAAGCAAATACGTAATTTCTAAGGAGAAAATATAACTCATCCACGGAAAGTAAGGATTGTTCGAACAGGGACAAGCTATTCACCTAAGTGTTGAAGCATCACGTTGAGTTCGTTAGTCGGTGAAAAAAGCTGAACTTTCGGCGTTCCGTTGCCAGCTTGAGAACCGTCTATCGTGAAGCTAACCTCTTCGCCACATTTCGCCGATGTCAGTCCCCTTCCTCTTAATAACACACGACTTGTGTCTTGTACCGGTGGCTAGAAATGTCAAATGAAAATAGATACTTAGTGCTATTGTAATAAGTACACTGCGGATTTTATGCATTTATAGCGTATCCAATTATCTGAAATTCAGTATAGTAAAATGTTTGGTAAATTTTTGTATGGTTCTCATATTTTATGTGGGAGTTTATAAAACCTTTGACGCAGTAGAAAAGGTTTCGTTTTTTTTTTCTAGTTTCGGTGGATATGTCTTTAAAAATTCATATTTGCATAAACATCCACAGTCTAGTAATAAATCCCCAAAAACTGATTCAATTGTATACCTCTAAATCTTGAACTATAGCTAATTTTGGTGCTCCCGGAAATGGTATGCCGTTAAATAATATTTCTAAACGATGTTCCCCGCCGTTTAATTGCGGCGCGATAAGTTTCAGTCTGTTGTTCGAAGACATTTCGAAAGATAGCATTTGATCCCCTATTTTCCCAGTGAGCTCCCCTGGTCCAGCCTCAGCAGTGTCGAAACTAATTTTATTCGATGAGTGTAACTTCAAACGCCCAAGCTCGTCGCATACAGCTGACCAACCACCTGAAAACACGAAAACTAAGTAACCTCCAAGAATGAATATAAACGCAACTTTCAAAACCCATTTGCCCACCGATTACGCGAAGATTTCGTGTATCTATGATTTTTGGGTGCCAAGGAGATCCCGGAAGCTGCTGACCCGCAGAAACAACTCGAATATCGAACACTCCAACTTCAGTTGGAACGTAAGAAACGTTCCAAGTGCCTGGATTAGCCCCAGCTTCGACAACCGCTTTCGAAACACTGTCTGGACCATCCACCTACGTAACAAATACACAGGTTTTGGTTTAGTATAACCCATTACACAGAAAAACTTCGAGTAGAAATTGATCTTAGGAGATTAGAAAGTACATACTTGAACTGCCGGGGGACTCCTTGTGCCGGTTACGATAAAATGTGCTGGTTTATCTACATGGCCACTTAACAGGCCTTCTCCTTTTGCGCGAGCTTGTCCGGCTGCATCGACCGCGCATACTAGTGGACTACCAGGTATGGGACATCCTCCTATACGTACGCCATTATTAGTAATAATATAGGTAACCAGTACTTGTCACGTTTCAAGATATTGTCAATGTTTATCTTACCGTATGTGATATTAATCATGTAACTGCCAGGTACACTCGGAGAAAATTCCACCATCTCAGCACCATCGTTCAATGGAGTGACTTGTAACGGAAGCTCGTGACCCAAAGGACTAGTCGCGGCCACGTCCAAGTCTGCTATTCCAGCGTCTGTCTTCATTACTGCAACAATGCATTATTATAACTAACGCGTCCTTTTGCTTTAAGCAAATCATTTTAATGCACTTACTTTTAAATGCAATGTGATCGTGCACAGACACCGTCATAGGACCCAATTCTTGCAGTTTCACTTTGGAAACATCAAAAGCTTGACAAAAAAAGGGCGAACCTAGAACTGGCTTAGCACCTTGTAAAACGTCGATCTTGTACGTTCCTGGGAAGACGAAACGCTAGTTTTCTTAAACAGATCATTAATATTTAAGTCTTCTTTTAAGTCACTATAAACAACTCACCAACAGTGTTTGTAGTGAATTCAGCGAGCAAATTTCCATCCCGATGCTGATAACACCGAACCGGAACGGCATTACCTTGCGGCCCACTGATCACAACGTCGAATTCTTTTCCTGGACGACCTAACGTTTCAATCGTAAACGAAGTCACTTTACCGACGCACGATTGGTACAACCCTAATCCTGTTGCAGTTACTTCTCGTCCTCCAGTTGGACTTCGAACACTTATATCCAGTGGGCTTCCTAAGATAAAACCGTGACGGATAGAACGAAGCAAATAAAAAAATAACAAAACAAAGAATTCATAGATGATTATCAAACCTGCAATGTGAACTTCGTTATATTTTATGTGAACTCTGTGAGGAGCAGCTCGCGTTGGATGAAACACTATCTCATAAACGTTATTATCTCCTTCCCTGACCACGCTGTCAACGTCAGTCCCAGCAGAGCGTACGTTCACACTCAGTTTTCCTGGTCCAGCTTCTTTCGACGCAACCACTGGCGAACATGTTTTAAGCTTCTATATAGTACACACTTTTCATGCACGCAGAAATAATATTACTCATGTTATACCTATAATAGTTCCAGGTCGATGACAAACTACGTCTGACACTTCTTTGATCGTTACCTTTCCGGGATCAAAAGCTTGAAGCGTTTGAGAACTGATAATCTTGTGACCATCGCTGAATATCACACTGTAAGTTCCAACTTGTCGCGTTCGTATTTCAACTCGATACAAATGGGACGATAATTTCGTTAACGTGCATGGAATAATTATACCGTCGGGTCCTGATTAGACATAGAATTACGATGTAACGTTACAAGAAATTGTACGTATAAGAACAGTAACTATAATAGGAAATTTACCTGTAACTTCAGCAGATACAGGTCCTTCTAACCCCGGCATTTCCAAGTCCATGTATGCTATATTGCCGACTCGAATCATGGATGGTCCGTCTATCATAGTACTAACCACTGGACACTTAAATGGACTTCCTAACAGGGAACAATAAATTACAAACTTTACTGCTTGCAGTAATTTATAACCGTCGAAAGAGAAAAACGTTACTGACCTGGTACGTTGTCATCGTTGAAACTAATGTTAACATAATGAGTACTAGTAGTTTGGGGAACGAACGTGACGTCGTACAATCCACGAGCGCAGGCAACAACCTCGGCTTTCACGGTATTGTTTTCCGTACTCACTACTAATTCTAATGTTCCTTCACCAGCTTCCGCGGCGTCAACTGTAAATGTTGTTGCTTGACCTAGCAGTGCTTCGGTAAGACCCGACACGTGAACCTACGCAAATTGTTATTGAGATACCGTATCAATAATTTCAATTTTTTTTTGCAGATGGCTGAGAAATTTACCTTAGTAACATCGTAGATATTGCAGGCAAACGGAGATCCTTTCACATGCTCGTTGTCCACTAATACGCTGATATTATGTCTGCCCACTTCCATCGGTGCAAAGCTGATGTTATATTTTCCATCGACAGGTTCTATCGTAATAGGAAGAGATATACCAGACGGCGGCGTAACGATCACGTCACAATTCGTCGACGCAGCTTGGGGATCTACTGCGAACGACATCAACTGTTTTACAGCTCCCATTTTTAAATTGTGACCCGCTATTATGGCTTGACCTGCGCCGACTACTTTACAGCTGAATGGTGAACCTGCGAAACGTCACAATCGTTATAGAAAAAATGACAACAGTTAAAAGAAACTCTTTATTGCAACCGATACGTTTACCTGGAACAGGTTCCCCATTGAAACGAACGCTAAGACTATGAACAGCAGCTTCTTGTGGCTTGAAATTAACCCTGAACTTCGCGTTTCCTTCGCTTTGTACATAATTTGGTACGTTTTTGCCATTTACGGCGACAATGATTTCGAGATTACCAGCACCTGCTTGACTGGCATTAACTGAAATTGGAAACATGCGAATGATCCCATCGCGCGTGTGTTAAATAACGGCTAATCGAACGTAGGGAACTTACTGCTGAAGAAAACTGGCTTTCCAACAACACCACTATTTATATCCGTCACTTTTACTTTGTCTGCGTTGTAAGCTTTCACTAAAAATGGGCTACCTTCCACATGTGATCCGCTTAACTTTACTTCAACACTGTGATCACCTACAAGTTTGTACATACAAGTTGGTTACAAAAGTATTCGAACACCCTTGAAAACAGAACAACTTTTTTTTAAATTAGTTTACTAAATGAAGTAAACAAAAAATTGAAAAAGTTGCAATACTATTTTCTTCACGATTCCGAACAATTGCAACTTCTTCAATTCTTTCTCTTTTTAACACATTTCTGCAGATGCGTACACAGTGTCTTTATTAGAGGACATACCAACATCTTTTGGAGTAAAGCCTGCAGTGTAACATCCGTGTCCGTTCTGTTTCACGTGAATCGGTAAACTATCCCTAGTGGGTGAAAGAACTTCTACAATAGGTGTTCCTAAAGAAGCGTCCGCTTCTATTGTAAATGTTGTCAGGCGATTCACAGATACTTTTTCCAATCCTTCAGTTATTACTACTTTTGCTGTATCGCTCACCTAGATTTTCAAGAAGATCTTCTCTAGGTTATTCGCACGATTGAAGAATGCATGAAGAAATTGAACGCATTTAACCGTACCTGACAACTAAAGGGACTACCAGGTACATCTTCTCCGTTGAACCGCAAATCCACAGTGTGCACAAGAGGCTCCCGAGGCGTGAAAGATATTGCATAGGTGTGTGGACCTTGTGCTTGAGCAGACGTAGGCACTCGACCACCATTTACTGTCACTTCCAAATTTCCTGGTCCTGCTTGACTAGTTTCAACTGAACCATAAAAATATTCACTGTGTACTATGTATTCTTTGAGATGTATTTAATGTAGTAGAAATGAGATTAATACCTAAGAAAGTTACAGGCATTCCAATAACACCATGTTTAGCATCTTTTACTTTGATAGCAGTCACATCGTAGACTTTGCAGCTAAACGGGCTGCCAACCACAGGAACATTCCGATGGCTTACTGAAATTCTATGTTCTCCAACGACTCTCGGCGTAAATGCTACGCTGCACGTCGTGTCTTTGTTGTCAGTGACCTGAGCTGGTACGGCCTGTCCATTGGGTCCTATCAAGTCCGCCGGTTAGTTGTTTGATACAATTTAGTCAGCCAACTACTGGGGGGATCGGGACACCGAAAGTTGACGACGGGGGGGATTACGTGCGCCCAGCAAGTTCTTTCTTAATGTTAAGGTTTTTAAATTACAAGCAATTTTAATAACTTCCGTCGCGAAAAGCAATCTATGAATTGTTATGACAGAATGGTAGCTGTTGTAGATACACGAGCATGAACGTAAGTTCGATAATTAGTTTACTCCTATTAAATAAATTTGATTCGATTAATACTTGGTTAATACTAGATCTGTTACATGTTTATGGAAAACTTAAATTACGTAAGAGAAAGAATTCAAGCAAACATGTCTCAAGAATTGGCAAATCGGCGAATGGAACCACTAAGCTAGAGATCTATTTACGTATTTTTCGATCCGTTTAACTGAACATGTTCTACTAAATAATAGTTTGGCACGTTGCATAAAAGCGGCTACGCAGGTTTCAATATTCGAAGGTTGTACCATTGTGCCATAATACGTGTAACTAACAGTAATTGTATGTATAGCACCATAAAAAATGGCTGTCACGAGAAATATACAAATACATGTGAACTTGGTTCAATAGTTAGAACGAATACCGCAAACCATTAGTCACCGTTTTGATATTGTTTATCTGCCGAAATGGAACCCAAAGCGTGTATAATACTCTGACATGGTAACCAACGATTAGAATATCATGGAAAAAGCACGAGAAATTATTCGGGATATGATTAGAAGAGCAAGTTAGAAACCCACCACCAATTTATTTAGAGAACTCCGCTATTAAGGTAAGAATGAGATTAGTTTTGTTTGAGAAGTCTAGTAATGTCGTAGTCTGAAAGCTGGCCGACCTGCAACAGAGAGAGAATTGCTCTCAAGCTAAAGATTAAGAAGACAACATTCAGACACAGAGGCACAATTTTCGTGCAAGTATCCACCACAATTTGATACAGAACAAAAATTCCATAAATTGAATACGTAAGTACTAAAAACGTAACGTAAGAAGGTGCTTGTACATACTTTCGGTCGTCGGCGGAACCGTTGTGCAGGAATTGTTTATTATCTTGTAACATTGCTTTGGAATATTAGACTTGAAGGAATAACAATATAACAAAGTGTACGATGTCGATGTGGAGACAGTGATAATTTGTGCAACAATAACAAAGATAAATCTTTGATACGCATGCGGCATATAGATGCTAACGTAACATATAAATACCGAAGAGTGTGAATAAATAATAGAATAAACGAAGCTGATTTACCTTCAACGTTAACTTCTAAATCCTCTAAGCTACCGGCAACATTACTGACTGTAAGATAGCTTTGTCGTCCTAATCCAGCACTGTTTAATGCCTGCCCACTCACTGTTACATGACTATCGCCACCTACCCGTGTTACAATCGGACAGCCTGGCACAGTTCGTTTATTGAACGCTATATTAATTACATGTTCACATGCTTCGAATGGTACGAAACTAACGGAAAATCGAGCATTTCCCTGTGGCGTCACTTGAGTAGGAATATTTTGATTACGAGCCGATATTGTAATCTCTAAATTTCCTTCGCCAGCTTGACTCGCATCGACTGTCGAATAAGAAGGATTTGAATGACGTAGCTTTTAAGACATTCTAATATTATTTCATGTTTAATTTTCCTATTTTTTAAACGTACCAGTAAAATGCGTTGGCTGACCGACACTGCCTCTGGCTACGGGACCGATTAATACTTTATCCGCATTAAACGCCTTGGCTAAGAATGGTGTACCATTTACAGGGTGCCCATTATATTCAACGCTAATTGAATGGACGCCAACGTCTCTAGGAATGAATTCTGCCGTGAAACCACTTTTTATGTCACCCGTTACTTTAACAGGCAGTTCGCTGTTCGGCCCTAAAAAATCAAGCTTTCTGTTATCGTAAAAGCATTTATTAGTATTCTGAGATTTTATACCTATGGTATCTTATATCTATTATCACCAACCTCTTACAGAAACTGCAAGTTCTGCACTACCACTGCCATCGACTCCCATATGGAAGCTGGCAGGCTGATCGACTGGAATTAATTCCAGATGATTTAAACTTAATGTTACTCTGCTTGTGTCGGACACGTTACAAATAAACGGGCATCCTTTTACTGCTTCTCCATTGAATTTGATATCTATGTAGTGTGGTTTAGCGATCTCAGGTGTGAAAGAAACAAGGCAACGTCCACCTCCTACTACTTGAACATGATTGGGTACTTCTCCCTCATTTATTGAGATTTCAAGCTGTCCTTCGCCAGCCGCGCTAGCATCAACTGAAGATTAAAAAAGGATCAAAGCATAAATGTACATTCTTCAGTGAAAATTGTTCCAAAGCCAGGTGTTTTCAATTACCTCGAAATTGGCAGGCATGCCCTACTACAGCACTGGGTACATCGGTAACTTGGATTAAACTGCTGTTGTACACCTTGGCAACTAGAGGTCCTGCCGGTAGCTTTTGTCCCGCGATGCTTACTTCCACAAGATGACTGCCCACATCTGTTGGAGTAAACTGAACACGAAACTCTCCAGGACGTCCTGGTTCTTCCTCTATCCTTGCTGGCAAGTGTCTTTTGGAAGGTGCTAAAATAATTGCAATTTGGAATAACACATTTGTACCTATACGTGTCACTTTAATTATAACATGTACGTATAATATTCTACACTTACTTATAATTTGGACGTCAATTTCACTACTGGTAAAACCAAGAGCGGAGAGCTCAAATAATGCGGGACTACCAGCAGGGACCAATCTTACAGAGTCCCCAATTACTGACATTTTTGGGGCTGGCATGATGCCCACTCGCCACGGTGATCCTATTAATTTAATATTTTCACATAAGAATATTATATTGCAAGCTATTTAAATATGGTATGATAATCTCTTAATAATTAGTAATTAGTTCAATACAGTGAATATCAGAATCTGTTGAAAAACCAAAGAGATCTCTCCACGTAAAATTAAGAGTTTTTGAATCAAATCTTAGTTTCCCGGAAGTGCAACGTGACTCCAATCAGGTGTCCCCTAACCTTTTTATTTATAATAAGGACACGCGCGGATCACAGTAAAAAATACCTTCAGTAAGCACCGCGGGAAAATTTACGAAGCTATATTTATGTAAATGCATGGAAGAAATGATTGTTTGCACGAGAATATAAAAAATCCGAAATATACCTCGATCGCGTCTTTAGTGTCTAGACTGAGAAACCTAAAAAAAACCGCTGAAAACCTTAAACGAAAAAGCTGCACGCAGAAATGAATTAAAATTACGAACGAACGAAATGTTGATATCACGGATGAAACACCGAGAAACACGGAAACCAAACTTATTTCATCAAGAACAAGATTTATACACTTCGATCTCGGCCATAAGCAAGAACAGGTAAGGAGTTTTCACAGTGGCACGCGAACTGATACGACATTATTGAGTATTCGACGCTGTTCGGTGAAGATTGATCGCGAATAATTTCCTCGGGAATCCATTCTGACACGATTCTTGAGACTCGCGATGAGAAGAATTCAAAACAACACTAAAAAAACACCCGAACACGATTTAAGAACCCGCGAGATATTTGTAGCTGTGATTTCTCGGGTAAGTGAACGTCAGCAGATCGCGATTCACGACAGACTTGAACGAGTCGAGCGACGGGACGAGTGTGGTTGCCACTGGATTGCCGCTCAGGCCCAGAACCAGGGCCGTGCATTTCTTGGTGTACGCTCCACAATTTTACTTGATGCATTTCCCTGCAGTGTTTCTTTCGTATTAGATTTCATTAACTTTCATGCTTGCTGAATTATTTGTTACACATATTCGCCTATATCGAGCCATTAAAATTACACTGAAAATCTCTCTTATCAGAAATCTTTGATCCCTGTTTACCTGGTAATCCTGAGAAAATCGACTCATTTTTCCACCGGGAAATCAATTACCAAGGAGTGACAACGAATATGTTGAAAAAAGATGGCGAATGAAAGAAGTGAAAAATTCGATTAACGCTTTGAAAGATGGGAAACAATTTTTGGATGAATAAATTTTTTACCTTGATCTATTGAAAGTACAATTTCTGGACAATAAACAGGGATCTGTTGATTTCTATTTCGTATTTAAGGTTTCCCCGCGACAGGATGGACATTGGCGCGGGGCCTGGAAGACATACGATACGTCTATGTTCTCCCATTCGTTTCTTGTTCGTTCGACCAGCTACACCTCTTCTACCTATACCAATACGTTTACAGGATACCTGATCTGCGTATTTCGATACCTTAAGGTCGGCCGCAAATAGAAACCTCGCTGTTTTCATTCGACGCGGATCTACTTTTTCGATGCAGCCGAAGGGATAATTCGTATCCAATGAAAAGTATTAGGGAAGGAACAGTGCAATTTTCTATGCATCGTGATTCTACTTAACAATCGGGTTTCAACGGGAACGATCCACTGCGCGAATCGAATAAAAGACTGGACACGCACGTATGTAGGTATGCAACGAGACTCTGTTTAGAAAATACGAGAAATGCGCGCTAAGATTCTACGAGGAGAGGTTCGTGTCCCATATTCGATTTGAAAAATATTCAGGCAAGCATAACTCATGACGATGGACTCTTTCTTCGAGCACTTACAAGTGTGGTACAAGTAACTGATAATAATTAAACAGACAACGACAGTGAGTCGCGATTCTCCGACACCGAGAAGAACGAAACAACAACTTCTAACCGTCCTGTAATGACCGTAGGAATTACGAAATTAATGATGCCTTGCATTTTGCAACGCACTTGCATCCTCGTATTCCGTTGAACAAGGATAAACAGAGAAGCACAACGTGGGTATCGCGTATACATCTGAGAAAGACGTCAAACGTCAGCGATTTGTGTATTCGGTATTAAAATGACATAAAACTTTTGCCGTTATAAAAGAGACAAACGCAAAAGGGAAAACGAATTACGAATCGTATATCATCTAGATATACGGAACATGGTTTTTTTTCACGGATCTTCGTCTACGTCGATAACATACATCGATATATCGATGTAATAGCTGTTTTTCTCATTCCGAATCGCTTTGCGCTACATTCATAACGACGGGAGTGTTACGTCGAACAGACTGTGGGCTTGTGAGTCGCTGCATTCCCCGACATAACGGGTCATACGGAAGGTGGTAACTCGTTCCAAAATTTTCGAAAGAAAACACTTCTACAGGTATTACCAAGCACCCATGTCTCTTCTCTTGTTCTTTACGTGAAATATTTATACGTAAACACAGTCAGCGAGAGACGACGCCTTCGAAAGTGGAAATACTATTCTTATGCGTGATCAATTCGTTCCGAACGAGACATGCTGCTCAAGCAGGGACAAATCGGAATCAATTGAATCGAATATGTGCACGACCTATACCGTGTTGTTTTATCAAGTAATCGTGATTCATTACCACAAATGGTGCCTCTATTGGTATTGTTAACGATATCACAGACTTTAGTTTCTATTTTCCGGTATTCGAAGAAATATTTCTCTCGAATCAGCCAGTCTACACGCAGAAAAAATTACAGGATGTACATTGCTCGAATTTTGTCGATCTAACCTAAATGGGCACGTTAAATATGGCATCATTGTCAGGCAAATCAGCATCGCTGTTGCAGCTTCGAGCCGTTCAAGTCACCGAAAGCGACCGAATTACATAAGAATGAGACACTACTTCTTTTACATCGTGAGTAGATGCGTTTTACTCTGTGGCTCGTGTATAATTAACACGTAATCGGTGCTTTCATAGTCGATGCGTCGTATTCTTATCGAGCGTCACGGTGATTTGCGCATCGCGATTAAGCGGAATGGTTTCACGTATGCACGCGTCACGATCGTTTCGTTTCAACACACCTGGTGCGTTTTCTACCGTTGTCGAAATTTCGTCGATTACCGATTTATCTCTGGTGGTTTGTGTCAAGTTATCGCGCGATCGATCGAGACACTATCCCTCTTTTGAAATTACTCAAAAGAACGAATACAGTGACAACAGGCCCGGTGGAAATGTTCACAGTGAGAGGATGGATGAAGCGAGAAGAATAGAGAAATCGGTAATAACACGTTTGCCAGGATGAAGCGCGTAAGAACGCATTCCACGTGTCGCGACAAACCGTACCCCAATTCCATAGGGTGTCCCGTAAATGAAACGTGAACCGAACACGATTACAAATGGCATTTGTTATTCAAAGGCATGGTTAATTATTTTCTAATGAACTTTAAATTGAACTAACTTAATAATTCTAACTTCGTCTGAGCAATAAACACCGTTATCCTGTTTATGACGTGTTTTCAAGACATTAGCTATTATTCTCTGTAAAAACTTTAAGGGCTGTGCACACTGCAGTCGTTATAATTAATAATTAATACGACTAGAAAATTTGTTCAATTATTGATCATTACGAATGGATCTATACTAGATGAAAAAAAAAAACTCATTTATTTACGGGTGTTCTGTGTGAAATGATTATTGCATACGGGAAACTATGCATCCAAAATTCCAGCGTGAATGGGCGAAGATCATTATGGGATGCGATCGCGAGCAGTTACGCGATTACGTTTACAATCTACGTAGGCAGAGGCCGACTATCCTCGCTCGTAACCAAATACGTCTGCGAACGTGTAGCGGCTCTGACATCGTGACCACACCTACGTTCTCTATGATATTCCTTTTCGGTTGGTTAATGTACGTACATTAAGGGGAACACATCCCGTTAAATTCCGCTACATGAAAACTGGTAACGTGTATTCAACGTTGCGTCGATCATCCGTAACGGTCGTAATTTCAAATATCATCGAAATGTAACGATTTTCTCACGAGGCGGGAATTCCGTTTTTCGAATCGCAGATTTTCCAAACAGTCCGAAAGTGAACACGATATCGGTGAATGTCGGTGGGGGGGATCAAGAATTCCTATGGGACGACCTTGACCATTGTTGTTGGCTCGGGTTAAAACAAGAAATACGTAAGTAGGTACTTACACAGATCTGTTTGGAAGGGATCGTAACGGAATTCGAAACATTCCGATGCTAATACCGCGCCGGTGATTTAGAAGTGGAACGGGGCTCCAACGAACGTCTTTACGATATTGTAGGCCACGTGCGACGCGTGGTCACGATTGCAGAATGCACTTTTCTACATGCCACTTAAATAATGTTTCTTTGTGTGTAAACACTGATGTATTCCGAATCCAATTCTATGCCGTTTTAGCTCCGAGTACCCCCAAAAATAATCAAATCCAATAGAGATGATAATTTGCAATTTTTCTTTCTTTTTTTTTTCTTCTTTCGCAAATAACAATTTCTATACGAAATTATATAGTTATCTTGAATAATAAAAGATTACGATAGGTTTATATCTTCTGAAAGAAACCGTCGTTGTCGCAGGGAATTCTTCGAAGAGAACGCTCAAACACTGTGCGTCCAATAAAAACACGCAACGGAATTGCTGAAGTGGTACCGGTGTGCATTATGCTTCGTTAGGTAAACGAAAGGAAAAAATATTCAGGAACGTGAAGAAAACGATGACGTCCGGTATATGTGTCAGTGGAACATCACGTGGATGCGTGAAATCGCAAGTCAACGACCTGACCAATGACCTGTTGACTCGGAGACGCCATAGGTGCTTGGGAACGCGGGGAAATTCAAGGGAATCCGCGTGAACAAATGAGAACTATCGTCGAATGAACTTCCCCTTTGAATTATCGAGTTCAACAAAAGTTTGACATGTATAGTGGACGTAAACGAAAGTTGCATAATAGTTATTCTAACAAATAAATCAATTTTTCAATTCAATACCAGCGTACAGTCTTACTCGTAAAATTCTATGAAATAAATAAATACGTGGCATCAGGAAATTCCTTTTTTAGTTAATAAGGATCCACTATCCCAATTCGAAAGGGCAGTCGGTTGAATATAAAGTAACTATTATTTCACAGGGGGGGGGGCAATGATATTTTTTATTCGATCTCAAAACACACAAACATTTTAAAGTTTAAAAACTAGCGATGTCGAGAGTAAAGCCCGTGCACGATTTCTGTTTACACGAGAGGTTATGGTTGTAAGCGTATGAGGCAGTCAATACTCTTAATGTATAAAAAAAAAAGAACACTTACCGGGGACCAGTTCGCCGTTGAACGTCATCTCTACCAGGTGTACAACAGCTTCATGAGGTACGAACGATGCTAGAAATCGTTGGCTACCCAATGCCCTGACGAAACTAGTCACATGGCCGCCATTAACCAGGATCTCTAAGTTTCCAGATCCAGCTCTAGAACCGTCAACTACAACACGGTACAATGGTTTACAGCGTAAAGTTATCTCGATTTCGTTTTGCGGGAGGATAGTATTTTGTCGGTAGGTATTGTTCGATACGCACTTTCAAATTCCACGGGTTGATTGACCACGCCATTCGGAATGTTCCCAATTTGGATAGCACGTGCATTGTACGCCTGTGACCTGTAATTGCGTAACACAATTAGATTCCAATCGTAAATCATCGCTGATTCGATCAGTACGTAGCGTTATTGATCACTTATACTGCGGATTTTATGCATTTATAGCCTGTAGGTCTCTGTGAAACGCAACGAAGGACAATACTTTCGTCAGATGCAACGAGTTTTCTACTTCCTTTTGGACCCAATAAGACACTTAAGGGAAGAAAGAAATTCCTACTTTTGTTTTTCTCTTTATGAACGACCTTCTAAAACGTGATTTTGCATAAAAATCCGCAGGCTATTGATTATATACCTGAACGGAGATCCCGGAACGTGCTGACCGTTTACTAATATTTGAATCGTGTACTCGCCAACTTCTTCGGCGGTTACAGCGTACGTTAAACCTCGAAGAGTTGACTTCTGAACGGGGATTACCTTTCCGTTTGGACCTGAAATTCAATGTTACCGTGTCAAGAAACGTTACGTCACAGTCTTCAATTTCCGTCAATTACCAATCACAAACGGCGAAACTTACCAGACACGTTAACGGTTACATTGTTCGGATCTACGCTGGGATCTACGGTGAACACGGTCGGCCTGTGAAGTGGCAACATTTCCAGGGCACTTCCTGTTACGAGTACGGAATTCTTGCTTTGCGTTGCCGCGTAACCAGAAACCCCATTATTAAGATATCGATGATCGTGTACGCCGTCCGTGGTGTCCATACTTTTGTAATAATTATTATTCTTATTTTTAAGAATACCGTGGGTCTGCGTTCGCGCGTTTGGATTTTCATTGTTGTACTTCTGTGACGGAGAGTAATCGGCACTCGTAAGTTTCTGAGACGACGTGAAATTCGAGAAGCTGTTGTTAGTGTGCGTTGCATTCCTCGTGCCGTAAGCCTGAGTGTTTTTGTAATTGTTGTTCAAATAACTGTGGTTGTTCGTGCTTTCGGCAGTGGGGGAATTATTGGTCAAATTGGCAAGGGATTCTAAGCTACCGTAAGACAGCAACGACTTCGTCTTTTCGATGGCGTCCCAGGAATCTCGTCTGGAGGTTCCGCCAACCATCGACGACACTCTCACGTTGCTGCTGGTGTCGATTGCTCCGTTATCCATAGAACCCCTTCTGTTAAAGCCGTTTTCTCTGTCGTTGTTTCTTGGGCTGAAGCTTCTGTTAACGGGACTCTGCGTCGGGCTACGATACGCCATTGGGCTACGATTCGGCGATCGTGATCTTTTCAGAGAGCCAGAATTATAAATCTCACGAGTCTCTTTGATGATAGGAGAAGCCAATCTCGGGGCATGGGTAGTCGGGCTTGGATTTGGCGAACGAGAGCTGCTTACTGTATTAGATACGTATATATCTTTCGATTCCTTCAGAAGATTAGGACTTTGCACGGTAGGTGATGATCTCACTTGATTGTACACAGTGCTGGAATTCATTTCCTTCGTTTCCTTTATCATCGACGGACTATGGAGATTCCGTGAGACTGGACTCTGACTGTGATTCGGTGATCGAGTACGATTGAACGACGTCGACGCGTAAGTCGAACTGGAGTTTTCTACCGAATAATTACTCGATGTTGTCTTGTACGTGGAGGTAGCCTGACGAATAGGAGAGTAGTCACGGACGCGTTGGATCGGACTCGATGATTTGTACGCGGACGAAGAATACGTTTTCTGAACAGGGCTGGACCGATCGGCTCCAACGGATACGTTCAATCCATTCATTCGTCTTTCCAGCGAGGACAGCTTCGACCTTTCGAGACTGGACGTTGACTCCTTCGATCTTCTCGATCCCTTTTGACTTCCCACTCGAATGGAGAACGGGGAGCCTCGAACATCGGAGCCGTTGAAGTACACGTAAACTCTGTACTTTCCAGATTCGGACGGAACGAACGAAACTCGGTATCTCATGTGCCCGTAATCTTCCATTCTGAAAGGTACGGACTGCTTGTCGTGAACCAAATCTATAATCACATCGCCAAGACCTCCGGTCCCCGTTGCGTCCACGATAAACGAGAACGGTTGCCCAGGTACGGCGCCGTCCGTGTCCATCAACTGAAAACGTTTCCTCGAGATTGTAGGCGTTCAACGAAGAAAACGAACGAATTCACGAAATAATGTAGTGAAATAAATGTTCAATCGAATGTTAATTTGGTATAAATTTCAATAATTCCCGATACCAAGTGGTAGAAGGCCCTTTTCCTACGCCATTTTTTCCCCTAGTGAAAGCAGAGTTTGCTCGTGTGTGTATGTACCTTTATCCCGTTCGGATCGAACACGAAACAAGTGAACGGTCCGCCTTGAATATGATTTCCCTTATGAGTTATCGCGATGCTCCATTCTCCCGTCTCGTCGGGTTGAAAGGTCGCGGTGTGCACACCATCGTTCTCTTTGACCGGACACGATAAAGATCTCCCGGTCGGGGACCATGCAGTCACGTCAATGCCATCATGACTAGTTCCTAAGAAATCAGATCATTTGTAATTATGTCGAGCTTACGTCGACGTAACTTATATCCATATTTATCCTCTCAAGCATTACGCTCACCATAACTGTTGACTAGAACCTCTACGATCGATCCTATAGCGCATGGATCCATACCGGATGCTTTGATTTTGGTCAAGGAAGGTAGAACTCTAAAATAATACGGACATCCGTCTACCAATTCTCCGTCGTTATATACCATTAACTGAAATACAGAGAGAAAGTGGAATTATAGTACCGATATACCTTCATACAGATATACTTAATACAGATTCCTCTCGATTATCGTCCCGAACTCGGGTCAGCGCAGCACAGTAGTTAATTCTTTTTAAAAATGGGACAAAAATTAGAAGAAAAAAAAATATTTTGTAAATTGAACCTTATGCATTCCAATTTCGGTAGGTATAAAGGTTCCCTTCCCATGAACTCCGTTCCAAGCGAGCCTGCATTCGATTCGTCCGCTGGGACTGATCACTTCGCCCCGTACTTCCCTCGTGTTTACTTCTTTGGTAAGCATTTCCAGCTTGAAATGCGCCTACAGACATCGCGAAGACAATTAAGAAAGCGTCTTTGTCGAGAAGCAATTAGAAAGACTCGATGGACATATAGTTTTTAAGGAACAATCGGTCCAACTAACCGGTTGTTGCACTCTAGCGGAAGTGCTGTCTATGTGTACGACAATTTGTTTGCACGCTTGAGGGCGAGGCTTCACCCACTGGAAGTATGCCGCATACGCCATCACGCCTAAATGTTCCACGTTCTGATCGGCCATGTCTTTCGCCTTGAGAATAGGCTCCACGCCCAGTTTCTTGCCTCCGTCGATACCTTCGAGGGGGGAAAATATGAAACGAACGTTACATCATCCCCGCGACAAACGTATAATACACCTGTACAACTCGTTTTTCACTGATTGAACGTCGTAAATGTATATTTCCCGGTTTACCCATTTGATTGTTATGCTCCCATGCAGACGGGTCGGTGTCGATCTTCTCGTAAGCTGGTGCCGAACCGCCTAAATTCCTCACGATCCCGCACAAAACTCGGCCGTCGTTCCAATCGGTCTGTAACGATCGCATTTCGTCTAGTTAGAAGAACGTTCGCGGGTATGATCCTCTCGAAAAACAAAGCAACAGGTGGAGTATATTAATACTTTAAAATTCTGCACAGTGTGATGAGGTAATTGTGTGTTGACCCATCGTAACGTTGCATGAAAACCGGGCGAACCTTCCTTCATGAAGTACGACAAGTAGGTCATTCCCGATAGTTCGTCCAAATATGGAGACGCAAGGTACTCTGGTTCCAGTACCATCGGTATATCGAATTCACGCTTCGATATTTCCATGGCTTTTCGGCAATTGTATACGCTGCAACAGACAAAGAAGACGTTCTTATCGATTGCCGATTTTTGTTTTTTTTTGCTAAACCTCAAATGGCTTAACAAAAATTCAAATTAACATTCAATAGTTTTTTCTTTGTTCGTACCTATCGTTGGGATCGAGTTGGCGCCAGTGGGAGAACAATCCTGGTTGACAATAATTCAGCAACGCGCTCAGGTACACGCCGGAGTTCCAGTCCGTCGTGAAATTATTCACTCTGCATTCTGGCAGGACAGCCTAAAAAAGAATCAATGAATTCGATTGAATGGGGCTAGGTCACCAGTTGCAAATGAACCGGGCCGATAAAATCGAATCCAAATCGATACGATTATACGTTCTATTTCGACGCTGTGATTATAGTCGCGACGCGGTAAGGTCACTCTCTCGTGCAGTTACGTGTATATACTGACCTTGAGCCAAGCGAGCATGAGTTTCCTTGGAGGGAACTTGGACTTGCCTATTTGGTAGCGTACAATGAGCGACCATATCAAGCCAAGGATCAATTTCAAATTTCCATTGACGATGTCCACGTTGCCTACGAACATACACGCGTACAGATCAAGTTTAAAAAACAACGTTTCGTCCTTAATACTAAACCTACCGAACCTTTTAAAAAGATCGGAATTAGGGAAAACCGGCGATTTGACCGGTCGTGGTAGGTTTGTTAACTGCCTTAGACCTAAAATAGGCGTTTTTATCTGGGAATCACCTTCTCAACTAAAGAATTGTTAATGTTTTATCGAATAAAAATGTAATCCTTTCTCGTTTTACTTTACTTTCATCGTAAAATTTATAATAGGAGCACTTGCCCTGCGTTCGACGTATATACTCGTCATTGTCTGGTTTTAATTACGTATCCCGTGAGGGATTTTTAAAATTAAATTCCGCAGTTGCCTTGTTAACTTGACCTAAATTTCCGTGGGAACAACGATGAACTCGTTAAAGAGACGAATCGTTCGCGGACAGCTGAGCGGCATTGTACGAAGAGGAGCTGCCGATACACGGTCCGCAATCAGGAAGAGATTCTGGTTGAATTTCAATCCGATTTCAATCGATGTGCACGCCCGTTACGGTAATTACGCAATTACCGCATATTTGCTCTCTGTTCGAGGTTCGTTGGAACGCGCGGGATGCGTATACACTCGGTTTATCGTTCGATGCATCGCATTTGCCGTTCGCACGCCGAGAATTAATGCACGTAGATACAGAGTCGGCAATGGTAGACGGAGTGTATAATCTGTAATGGGTCTTCGAACAGCCTCGTAGGCGCCGATAGAGCGCAAGAAAGGCAACGACCTCCAACTACGATTTGCGAGCCGTGACGTAACAACTACGTACAGTATTTTTTTCTCGCATCTGAACGCGTAACTGCTCTGCGTTCGAAGCAGGCATTATTACAGTTTACTGGTTACGAGTGAACGCTCGCGGTGCATCGATATGTTCCGATCCACGCGCGCAGAGATTTATGTAACTCTTGACAGGGGCAGCAGAATCAGCGGCACGTGCCCGATTCTGACCGTAAGACCTTTTCCTCTGTACAGGAGTGGGTACTTGTAGGCCTGGATTAAGAAACTTCGTGGCCCAGGACTATCAACATTTTCGGGGGGCCCCTTGGTTGAAAAACGGGGGGTGGGTGATTTTTTATAATACCACACAAGAAAATACATAAATCGGCAAAAATTGAAATTTGTTTTAAATAAAATTAAATAACTTGTAATCATAACGAAATGGAAGGGTTCAGAACGGGGCCCCTCTGGAACGTTGGGTCCGGGGCTACAGGCCCCTTAAACCCTACATTTCTTTTTTTGCCGCTCACGCAATAGGTATACTCGACCGGTAAACAAAACGCTGCGTATGTGGGTTATCTGTGGCACGATTATCTCAAGAAGGCGTTACGAATGAAATTATGAAACACAACGGCAGCGACCCAACGACTAGTCAATCGAAGGATAGTTTGGACAATTATACAGTTGCGAAGAAAATGGCGGGAACATTTTCAGTGGACTACGCATTGCGATTGGTATCCAATGCTATCGCGGGAACTCGGCTGGCAGTCTTACGCTCTGATTGGTCGGGATTTTTCGTTAATATCTCGTTAACAAAGCCTCGGATAACATTTTTGTTAAAGAAAAAATTGTTTCAAATCGTCCAAGGAGTTCCTCGTTTTTGGGAGTCGAAGCTATTTTGGGACACCCTATATATTTCTATGTCCTATGTGTATAGCCAACGCTGCTCGTAAAACTGTGAATAATGTCGCGAATAACCGCGCGAATCTCTACTCACCGATGTTAACGAGTTTCACGCCGTCAGCCTCGATAGCCTGAAGCGCCGTCGACACGTTTTCCAAGTGATGATGCTGATTCGCTGGTCTTGGATTCCATCGAGGCAATCGTCGATTGGTGAGAACCTCGACGAGGGCGCAAAGTCGCGTGCCGTCTCGAAAATCCTCCGCAAGATCGATTACAGGGCCGTCCGCAACATCCGCGGCGTGCTTCAAGTGCTCGTTCACCCAGTTCCTAAACGTATTCGCCTGAATCTCCACCCATAGATCCTCGTGGCCTTTGATCGGCATCCCTTTGGCCGCCGTGCCTTCCGCGGAACGAGCCACCAAGCCCACCAGTTGCTCCGGTCGTAATTGTTCGGTCCTTTCCATCGTCGTTTCTTCTTCGTTTTTCTACAGAATCGCACGATATCGTCTGACTAATCGCCAACGACGTCGTCATCGACGGTAACGACACCGACTATCGTTAAAGTTCACCGTGAAACCCGATTAATCAAGCCCGCCAAGAAGACAATTGAACGCGAACCCTGGGTCAAGTGGGCCGATAAAAGCCACGAAGAATTGTACACGGGGTCAGCATCGAAGCCGAGTTTCCACGCCAGTGTACCCTCGGGAATAAATTCTGCTTCCGCTAGGGGAAATACCGGCGTAGGGGTAAGGGCCTCCTACCACTTTGTAAATTCACTTCAAGTAATGAAATAAATATTCAAGTCAATGTTAATTTGATATACGTTTCAGTAACTTCCGAGATCAAGTGATAGGAGGCCAATCCGAGCAATTCTCCCGGAAACATAGCCCCTCCAATCATCTCACGATTTTCTCCACGAGCCGATTCGTCTGGTTGATCGGGATAGTCTCGTTACTCTCGGGAAGATTTGTTCGTTAAAAATTTCACACGGTGAAAGTGTCTGCGCAGGCACCTGTTACTGCGTGTTCGATAGTCGAGGATGCATCTTGGGTTTCGTAGCCCCGTTTAAATGTAGAAGCACAATGCATGTAACCGCCGTTTCATTTCGAATTCATGAAATCTTTTACAGTTACAACCGGGAGAAAGGAAACAAGAAAGCGTAGAAATTATGCTCGTAGATCGTCAACGGTTTTCTTCCTAGATGAAGAAAATAAATTAATGGAACTGCGTAGAAAAATCGTCCGACTTAAGGCAACGAGCTGCATAACCTCTTAATATATCCTAAAACGGAGAAAAGATCGAGGCACGATCAGCGTCACGACCAACGCATTATGATGATGTATTTAACATGACATCGACTGCACGTGCCAACGGCATTGCTACTCCGCGCCACACCATGCTATGACGTCACTGTTTGCCTGAAAACCTTGTCCGACCGGCAAAGCTTGCGTAAGTGCGTAAAAATTGCCGAACGGACTATTCGAACGCCGCGTTATTCCATGGAAAATATAGTCCAGGATTGACAAGTCACGAATAAGCCTACTAAAAAAAAAAAAAGAAAAAAAAACGTACCGAACGAAACACGCGAGTTGGTATATTGCGTCGCGAATAGATATCCTCGTAATATTCGAGAAACACCTACGATGACACTTTCTCGGTGAATGGGATAATTAGAGATATTCGCGATAGCACCGTAAATGGGGCATGTAACGATGCAACCGCAACAGTTGCGTGGAACGCGATTAATTACAGGAACATAAAAAGCGAAACGCGTGAACCTCTTCTAGAACGTTTCCTGGGAAACTTCGATGATGAGGCATGGATCGATATCGGCATTGTACACTTGCTGCACGCACGAAATTCAATTCTTTCGCTCACACTTTCACCGGAATTTTGTCTTTCCAAATTTTATTCACGATTCGACCACCTTTGTCAACGTTTCGGCGCTGGTGACAAACACATTTAACCGTCGCGTACCGAGTATAGATCGATGCGACGTGTCAAAATCCAATGATCGATACACAATACCTCCAGGTGACAACACAAGTGAACAATTTGTAACGAAAATTACAACGGAATCTTCCAGAGACCAATCCTCGATTGGTCATCCGTCGACGAATCGGCCAATCGGAATCCTCGTTAAAGGGCGCGATTGGGGCTCGAATTATTCAAAGAATACACGGTGGACGAGTATTTTGAAAAACCTGTGCCGTAAAGAATGTCGTGCCGGCTTCGATACGTCGGAGAAAAATGTTTGGTATGTACACTCGTGCGCGCGATCGAGGTTGTATGAATGTTTGGCATGCGAACTGATATTTACGTCGGGCGGTCTCTCTCGAGGGAAGCCTCTTGAACACCAAATCCTCCTTTATTCCTTCGTAATCTTGGGACTTCTCTGTCAACGAAGCCTGTTCCACACGTCGACGATGCCGAGTGATAGTTTGATGTTGCGGTGAGCTACGCGAGAAACGCCATTTTTGGACGTTGCACCTTGCCGGATCGCACCGTTTGCCGACGAACGTCGTTCGAACTTCGAAGTGCGTGAGCTCACTGAACCGACGTGAAAATCCCCTTCTTCGCGGCTTGACGCGGCGGTCGCCTTCCGAGACCGTTGGGGAACAGAGGCACGCGATCGTAACGAATACGCTCCTGTGCCTACCTGTTCGCGGGCCCCCCTCCTCTACCTTTTCCTTCCAGTATTCCCATTTGCAATGGAAACGAATGATTTTCAATTAAAAGCAAGGAATACCTGTTCAAAGCGACTTCCATGCACCGCAAATAACGATCGTCGAACAGAAATTCCATGAACAGAATATTAATGTTCTGTTTCAATTCACATTTGTCTTGTTCCTTCTGTTACATGTATTATATTGTTGTCAAATACCGTAACTAGTATACGTAATGGGTTATGATATATATCGACGTTTCATAGAAAGAATTACTTAGCTTGAAGTGAGCCCACGTAGAATCGTAGGATTATTTATTTATGTACAACGCGGTGTTTGTGGCAAACGCCCGATTTCGACTGCTCGGATACTTTCCTGAATATCAGCTACTAGAAACGAGCAGATTATTCCGCAAGGTGGTGGCACCTGTCGGATTCGTGACCATCGGGTAGCATAAGCACAGGCGTTCGAACAAACCGTTGAAAGATGTACATAACGTACATTGCTATTTCATTGATGGCGAGTAAAGTTGAAAGTTTCCGTGAATTCGTGTTTAATTCGACTGTACCAGATGGTTTAAAACTTGACCGATCATTTCTAGAAATTAAGGAGCAGTACGTTCAAGAGATTTAAAGAGTTAACGTTGTCCCTTTATCAGGCATCGAAGTCTCTGTCTCTCGGCGAACCAAATCTTCAACCTACGCATAGTAAACGTCATCTAACGCGATGATCGATGATCATCTTTTGAAACCATGCTACATTTCACAGTACATACATACCTTATTGCAGAGACGAATGCTGTGACATTGATCTTAAATCAAAATAATTATTCAATAACAATATTACATTTTATTCTTTATGAACTTCCTGATACGTACACGTATACATATGTAAGTATACATGTATTGTCGGTCATGATATTGCACCAATAAATAGATTCTGTACCTCATCTTCAATACCTAAATTCTATATCTCGTCTGTGTTATAGATATAGCAAATGTTGTATCATTTCTAAGCCACAAAGGGGAACGCCAGTGTATCCAAAGCTGTGGGAACGTCTTATCGATAACATACCATATGATTACAACCATCTTCCTACCAGACGGTCGATAAAGTAGAACACTTTGGTATCTACGGTCGGTCAATTCGAGAACTACTTAGAAATATCGAATATGTCCTGCTCTGAATCTCCGTAAATTGTTGTACATATCCTGTACACTAGTCGAAAATGCTGTAACAGCGTTGTTAGTAATTGCATACCGTCATGACACTTGATAGAGTGTTAGAGACAAGTTCCTTGTGAAAAATTCTATATAGGGCTTGGCAGGGCGCCGGCGCCGCTCTATAAATAGCGCGTACAACGCCAACCGCGGGTTGCGGCTTGTGGACAAAGTAAAAGGAAAGGCAGCAATGGGGTGCGCGCGACGACGATAGTAGGTAGTTAACGGTGGTACATTTCGCCGCTTCGAGCCACCTACTCGTAAAGGTATACATATTCGGTCCTTCCTCCAAAGCATCGTGTGCTGATCAATTTTGATCAATTCGACGACGTCGTTACGCCCGTCATGCGTTTCGTGCTCGAATAATTTGCCTAACCGTAGTGTACCGTACATACGCTAGGTTTCAAACATTACCCACGAGAATCGTTGAAAGATCAGAGAGAAAGACAGATTCGCTATCGAATTCGTTTTCCATGCCGGTGTTTTCTACGTTTCGAAGACTCAGCTAAAATTACACACGAGTGATCGACGATCGGGGCGTACGGTGTGCAACGTGCGACGTGCGGCGTGTCCGTTGACGCAATGGCACACTTTAAGATGTGACTCCTTCGTTCACGCTTCGATCGCGTCAGCTGATCGACAACGTGTATCGAACGAATTAGGTGATTATGTAAATTCTACTTTCGATCGATTCTAGCAATGTTCTGTTTACCATTTTTTCCCCCCCCCAATCCCATTACTATAAGTTTCGCCGACTTGTACCAGCTTTTCGCCGGCTCGTTACAGTCAGACTAATTATACTCTCTCTCCTCATGCGTTGGGAGGTTACTAACCAGATCAGACACAACCCCTTCTGCCAGGCGCGCACAAGCAGTTTCGATATTCGTACGAGGGACCAAAGATTCGTTCGTTTTCCCATCGGTTAAACACTTCCTTGGACTTCAGTGAATCTTTCTTTGAAATTACAATTAGAAATCCGTTCAGTTGTAACCAGCACGGGGCTCTAATAACAAAACCGTTTCAATGCTGTTTCTTTGGTTTAAATGCCAATGGACAGTACACAATTTAACGGTTACAAATACACCGTAGACCTTCGAAGTATTGTTGAAAACCTTTTTTCTTGCAGCGCTAAAAGTAATCGTGTAAAGTAAACGATCGTCCATTAAGGCTTCGAACCGAAATAATAGGTACCTATTATACATATATGAGCCTCTTCGAAGAATGTAATACCTATGTATTTTTACGCGAAGGATAAAGGGTATCGAGTTAGACGGCTCGTGAGACCTTGTTTCATTTTATAACTATGAAATGCTTATTTTTACACTACAATTCGTCCATAAAAGTATGCCCTTGAGGATTCATTAAGAGATCCCGCGCTTGTTTCAAGCTCGCACTACTTGCGACTAGAGATGGCGTGAATTGCTACTTGTGAATCACGAGTGATTCGTCGATCACGTTCGTTCCCAATCACGGTGATTTTTCACAGTGATTCGTGATTTTTCGTGATCGTTTCTAATTGGTGGAGAAACATAACAGTTTTTTACACGCGACGTATAATTTGTATATTTTATATTAACGACATCGAAACAAAAATTCAAGTTATATCGTATAAAATGAAGGAATAATTAGAAACAATGAAGAATAATGAGTAAATTAATGATTATAAATTATAATATACATGTTACCTAGCAAATTATTCTTTTAGAATTTCTTGTTTTTTCTAATGATTTTGAAAAACACAAATATATTAATGTAATTCATCGTAAAATCATATTGAATACGTTCTCCAGTTTAAGTTAATGAAGTTAAATCACGACCGTGATCGTGATTCAGCGATCACTGTGATAAATCACCGTTAGTGATTTTACACGCTATCTCTACTTTCGACCGGCTGCGAAGGGAACACGTGGTGCGGACTTCTATTTAGGTAGACATATTATTTTAGATCTGTGGATAGCCGAACAATTGGGAAACGAACGTAACGAATAGAAAATAATGCAATAAGATGGAATCATTGGTTTAGACTAAACCGATCGATGAAAAACGTGTCGCTAGATCGTGATCGACGGTTCGTACAACAAGTGTCCAGAAGTTGGTTGGCGTTACTTTCGCGTCCCCACGGCCGATTCCCGCAGGTTGTGTGTGTGTGTGTGTGTGCGTTTAGATCAGCTTCACTGAAACTGTTCGCGGGCTTTCCGCCAGAAAGCATCGCCCGTTTAATATACTCGGTTCGTCGACTGATGATCTATTTTCTTGGATGTATCGCAAGGCGGCACCGGGTATTTATGCCGTTCGTGTTCAACAACGAATACGTTATCTCGGCTCACGTGTAAGTACGCTGTTCGAAAGTGACTCGACGCAACTTGTACATACTTACACGACACGGAACACAAATAAAACAGAGCATAGTACGTTCGAAGGATAATCGTTTCTCCTTATATCTAATAATTCCGTAATTATTTGTCCTATCGTCGAACCGATTGGATCGTATCGTAACCCACGGATGTCGGATCAGCGGCGAAAATGGCTTTAGTGATGCTACCCTGTGATTTGCCATGGTGGCCAGCCGTGGTGAAACAACTGGATCGCGCGGCGGCTGCCAGAAATTCCGAGAATCTCGTGGAAGCGATGCAACGATTGCACGACATGTGCAAGTAAGTACAATCAATCTATAAGGGTAATAATTGTCATTGGTGCAGTGTGTAACAACGGACGGAAGAAATAGATAGAGCGAACACACGAGTTTATTATACTTCTATGGCATAGAGCCTAACCCAGATCTAATCTATAGAGCCTATGGGTATAAGTACACTTTGAATTTTTACGTAATATCTCTGCTACCCGAAACGCTTGGATCACAACTAATTACAAACTAATTTTACGGCAAAATAATGAATTTCCTCCCACGAAAATATTAATGAATACGATTTTTCTGCTACCACGCTGTTAAAAAGATACGAGGAACAATGCATATTGAAAAGGTATCCGATCAAAAGTATTTCTAAGTGTCTGCAAGAAGATGTACCCTTTGCGTATGCTTTTAAACGGCAGACCTTTTGCACAAATACCATCCACGTTTCATATGTTATGCGTCCCATATCACACGTATATGCATACATTACTACGTCTATCTTGTACATAATCTGTATATGTATAGTGTAATTTTAATTTTAACCGACAATTTTTTTAAATAATCACTGTACATTCCAAGCCGTATGGTTTTCAGTATAAGCCTCGATCCCGAAGAAGACACGCAAGATCCCGAATTGTTTTCCGGATTGGCGTCGTTCCTCGACACCGATCTCGCACCAACGGAACGGGAACATGTGCTCGCGAAGACGATCCCGCGGATGGTGGACAGAGCGAAAGCATTGAGGTCTTGCAAACCTCCGCAAGGTTTGCACTTCAGTCTTCAACAGCAAGGTGATTCGAATCGATTCTGGAAACGATAAAAACGATAGCCGTTCGCTGAGTTGCGTCGATGGGGGGGGGAGGGGGATTATAGTTGCTTCAAAGATATAGTGTTAGTCATGAAGGTGGCCGATGCTAAAGTTTATGTGTTTTCTGTAGCTTAATCCTGTCATTGGATACCCTTGAGTTGTGAAGGTGTACGATCCCGAGAGCGGTGGGGTACAATGGGCCCCAATGATCAAAAACTAATTGTTTAAGGGTCAGTCACGTTTATGGTTGACACTATATTTTTGAAGCAGCTATACCTATCGCAAGGCCAGCAGTATGTCACTTTCCGAGTCTTTTGTATCACAGGTGACTGCGTCGAATACAGCTACGGATTCGTTTCGTCTTTAATCGCCAATGCGTTCTTCTCGACGTACCCGAAGAGGACCGCGAAGACTCATCCGACCTTGCGCGACTTTAATTTCACCAACTTCTTCAAGCACCTTCGCAAGTAAAGAACATCAGCCGAAAGAGTATCGGGTCTCCATATTATAAAAGAATATGTTTGTGCGTATACTTGGGAGCTGAGGAGAAACCCACCAATCGAATTCGTTCGTGACAGAGAGAACGAAAGGGATAGATGAGATCGAGTGAGATAGAACGATAACAGAGTAATCACGTGGTACTGACGTAGTAATGACGTAGCGTCTTCCAGTGCTAACCATTGGTCGGGGAAATACCCCTCTTGCTCCTGTGCTGTTTCAATTTGTTGGAGCTGGGCAACTCAACAGCTCCCAACTGTACACCGACGTGCAAACTCGGTTTTCATTAGGGGAAAAAGTGGCGAAGGGTAAGGGCCTCTTATCGCTTGATAAATTTTGATTTTAGTAACGGACAGAAGGCAAAGCTGAAAAGTATATTTCACTACTACGACTACCTGGAGACTGAGAACGCGTTGGACGGGAAGTTGGTCGTCTCCAGACAGGTATTTTACGTTACACTTTACGCACTTAACGTCGTCGCGCCATCACGTGCGAACACACTGAAAAGCATCGATTTTCGACAGGTGATGACGTCCAAACAGTGGTTGACTATCGAGGACTGGCTGGAAAGCAACGTTCCTCTTTGTCCGCTGATGATACGCCACGAGGGTCGGTTGGAGAGAGTGGAACCCGAGACAAAAGTATTGCGCGTTTGCTTCGCGAGCGCGAAGTTTGGCGGCGGCGTGCTCGATGGTGATGTTACGCAAGAAACTGTACATGTAAATAATTCATGCGCGTGACAAACGTAAAACTTCGATCTCTGTTAATCTGTAGTCGATCTAAGATGAAACGCGACTACAATCGGCAACAATTATATACAGCAGGCCCGGATTAAGATTTCTTGTGGTCCAGGGCTATCAGATTTTCGGGGGCTCCTTGGTTGGAAAGCGGGGGGGATTTTAAATCTTCAAAAATTGAAATAAAATTAAATAACATCTAATCATAACGAAATAGAAGGTCAAAACGGGGCCCCCCTGGAACGTAGGGCCTGGGCTACAGCCCCCCCTAGACCCACCTTGATCCGGCGCTGATATACAGGGTGTCCCAAAATAGCTTCCACTCCCACAAATGAAGTTGCTTTGTTAATGAGATATTAAAAATCCTCGGATAACATTTTTGCTAAGGAAAAAATTATTTGAAATCTTTCCAGGGACTCCTCTGTTACGGGAGTCGAAGCGATTTTGAGACACCCTGTTTAGAGCGCAATACAAGGCAAAACGAATATACGATAGTACCTTCTTTCTTACATTTAGATAGTAACGCATCCCGAAATGCTCGCAGCGATTCTGTCGGTCGAGGCTTTAGAGGACAACGAAGCATTAGTGGTCGAAGGCGTTAGGCACGTATCTAGAATAAATGATCCTCGGAATAGAGCCACGTTCGAAGCTTTGCCGAAACCGAACATCGTGAGTAATGGAATACTTAGTGCCCATAGCAGTGTCTTCCTATCCAGTCTCCATTCACAATTTAACAGACGCTTCTTCCGCGTGCCCGACAGGTGACAGTTTGCTGCATCGATCCCGAGGATTACTCGAGATTACCGTTGGCACAATTCGAAGAGGATAATGTACTCCGTGAAATGAACAAGTCTCTGCTGGGATTTCGGCAGAGATACGTGCCGAGCAGTCCAACCGATCCCGTCGGACGGTCCGAAGCAGATCCGGACGGTGGGCTAAGTTCTCGCAGATTGTCACCGATCGGCGAAAGCTTTAGCAGTACTCCCCCGGAAATGGATGTCGATGACAAAGCTTTGTCCACGAAGCATGGCTCTAAACAAGGTACTAGTAAACTCGGCTTCTGTTAGTTAGAGGAAGAAGTAACGTAGTTGAAGGGCCGTATAAATTTTAGTATCTTCCGAGATCAAGTCGTAGGAGGCCTTTCCCCTATGTCACTTTTTCCCCTAGCGGAAGCCGAGTTTGTTCGTCGGTGTGCAACGAGAAACCGATCGTTCTAAGACAGTTGTTCATATCTCTTCATTTTTCTTTCAGCGAAATCCGTGTCGAACGAGCATAACTCGATGGAAGTTCGTACCAGACCAAACGGAAAGTCCGCCAGGCCATCGAGTCCACACAAGACCTGCAAAGATCCGAGCTGCACGAACAGAAGAAATAGGTTTATCGTACTCGGGTCCAGCGGAGAAATTCTGCCGGTTACACGGAAGTCGCTTGGTCAGATGTCGGTTTACAGTAGCTGCAACAGTCAAAGCACGGACAGTTTTCACAGCGCCAAAGACACGATAGAAGAAGATCCTGGTATACGAGACTCGCGACTTCTAGCGACCCAGGTTCTCGAAGTAGAAACTACAATTATTGCGTCTGAATTTTTAGAGGATGAAGAACAGAAATTAAGTAGACGATACAGCGGCCAGTTGGACACCCCGGAAAGAAGAGGAACGTTCGCTCAGCGTCTGAGGGACGCTTTGAAACGCGAGAGCACCGCCACCTGTGCAACTTCCTCGAATACATCGTCCGGCGAGAGTAGTTACGCGGTAGGGATAAGCGTGTCTGGAAGTCACGTTTACGATCAGGACATTAAGTAAGGAAGCTTCTTTAAATACACGCTGCCAGGCACGTTTAGAAAAGTCGACAATCTTTCCCGTGGTAAATATTCCAGGGTTAAACGGGGTGGCTCGAGAGGTTTCGTTCTAAGGGACGAAACCGTGGACGAAGAGTTCCTAAAGGAATCGTTGGAAGCGGAACAGAAGTGGCTAGGTAGATTCCGACAGAATCAATCCGCGCTCCAAAGAAGGGACACCAGCGCCAGTAGTAGATACAGTTTCAGCACCGAATATAATTCCGGCAAGTACTGTATTACGAAACATTTGCCTATATTTGATACTATCTTTCGTCAGTTAACGAAATATATATATACGTGAATCGACTTATCTTCGTGCGTCCAGATTTTTGTTCGGAGCTCGAGGAAGTTTACGAGCAACTAGCAAAATGGTTAGAAGATCCCATAGCGGCCGACGAGTCCCGTGAATTAGATGCGAGAGACAGGGCGGTAGTTAGATTCGCGGGCTCGTTGTTAAAGAGAGCCCTCAGCGAGTCGTTCGCCGGCGTTCCGGTTCAGGAGGGTGAACCTCAGCCCCTCGTTGATTCTGTCGACGTAAATCAAAGGCACAAGTTAGCTTTGGCCGTGAGAAGTTTGAGTTTAGAGCTAGCCCGCCAAAAAAATAGGAGACAGCAATCAGTAAGAAACAAAATGTTGCTTCTTTTTTTTCTCAGTCGAAATTATCCGATCGGTATAATAACATTATCGAGAAAAAAAAAAAAAAAAAAAAAAAAAAAAAAAAAGAAAAACGAAACTGTAATTACGATGAATCGAGAAATACGATTACATTTATCGGATGGTTTTTTATTTGAAATTATCGCGTCGGGGGAAGAATGAGAGACAAACGGAAAACTAACGCGAACCCCGGATGATCGTTTCGTGCATAGCCAAGTCTCATCAGATCATTACGATACACAGGTCTCAGAGTCTGCAGATGTAGAGTATTACGAAGACGCTTTAAGTAATCATACGATATCGAAAGAGGTAAAGGATATCCAACGTAAAAAGCTTAGGACGGTAACATTCACATCCGAAGTTTTTCAAACATTGGTCGACGATGAAACGACCGTGTGTCTGTCTAATCCTGTTTCTTTAAGTACATCTGGAACCATAAAGGATAAACTTGCGCAAGAATTCGAATCGCATGTTACATTTAACGTGAGCAAACTTTGTGTTACGCATACATATGTAAACTTTGTTCCGTAAATGTGATGCATGTGAATCTATGGAACGAGCAATAAATCATTCGCCGTCGTCGCTCTTTATTACCATAGACATAAAAATATCCACATAGCACAGACCAATTAAAGGCGTCTCTGACCTACAATAGCCGTAAAATAGACGTCTTTAAGGCGTCGTGTGCTATCTGGATATAAATTGCGCGTCAAACTGGGTGGACATCCCAACTTTAGAAGGAGACGGGTTACTTTCATGGACATGCTATAGCTCAGTCAACCACACAAAATCCAGAACCTCAGCAAACACTACTTAGATTTAAAAAAAGATGACAAGTCCTATGAAAGCTGTGTACAGACTCCTCTCGATTATTGTCTGACTTGTTCTACACGATTATTGTCCAGTTGTTATCTCGACCACTGGAGAGGGGAAGACGTGGAACCTGTCAAGCGTATACTTTGTTGCCGAGACTTGGACAAGAAACGAATTTACAAGGGTTTTGAAGCATTTCTCCCTATAAAATTATTGTCCCAGCGCGGACCCGAGTTTGGGACAATAATCAAGAGGAGTCTGTACCTCTTTCTAAACTTGGGACGCCCGTTTCAGGGAGATGCGCAGTCTATATTTCTATGTCTATGTTTACTACATGCTCTCTAGCCTTAACTTTTCCAATTCGTCGATGAGAACATTGACAGTTTCTGTATATTAACGATCCGTTGTTGCATGTCAGTTAACAATCTTTCTAACCTCAAGGTATTGGTAGTCGTACCTCTAACTATTAACGATATTTGTCTCTCATTCTATTGGATTATTGTCTTTCACTTTATAATCGATTTTTTTCACGTGTGTTCATGTAACGTTTCCATACTTTCCAAAATAACATTTGCCCAGAATTCGTCCGTTTTCTTATGGTTGCTAAAATATATGTTTCATTGTTATTAGTTTGCATTCTATCGGATATGATCAGGGGAATTTTATCGCTCGTGAGTTTACTAACACGATGTTTCAGATACCGCGAGACAGTAGCCCACAAACCGGTGGATTATTATCCGTTGCTACTGGAAACTGGGGATGCGGGTCTCGATTAAAAGGGGATCCCCAGTTAAAGCTTGTTATCCAATGGCTTGCCGCTTCTCTGGCGGGAGTACCAAAATTGATCTATTACACAGCAGGAAATCCCAGATTATCGAAGGTAACGAATGGAACTGTCTCTCTACGTAAATCTTGGAAATAGAGAGTTATACGTAAATCTTAGATATTGAGGGATATACATAACCGAGCCTATAATAATTCATTAGTTAGATACCGTGAGCAGAGTTCTTATGGACAGGCATTGGTCCGTTGGTGATTTAGCCGCTGCAACGATAAGATTTTCCTTGCAAACTATAGAAGACAGAATGGAGAGAAGGAATACATTATTCGAGGAAATAATCGGTATGGATAAACCAAGTCCTTAGCCCGACTCGATGCTGTCTGTTCTGGTAGATATTCTTGCTACCATGATCGAGGACAGCCTATTGAACACTTAAAATGAAAGCCCGGAGAAGCACAATTATCGCGCGTGTCTCTTTTAACACAGCGAAAGTTAAACCAACAGGGATTGACCAGAAAAAAACTGTCGCAACGAAAGAAGCGTTAACCGTTACAGAAACTTTTAATTTTTACAAGATTTTTACGAGTCAATATTAAGAAAATCGATCTCTGTGGTTTAAATTGTTTCATATCAATAAAATATAAAACAAAGCCGCACAACTCAGTGTACAAAAGAATAACTGAAATACCAATGATGATTTCGATACTTTTTAGCTCGAGCGATACGCGAATAAAGTGAAAGAGTTGTTATTACGGTTTACATGGAACAGCTGTGTTATGATTTCTTGGTGTATATTGTCATTTATGACAGTATTTACACACAGAGTCGAATAGTCTAGCCACACGAAACGTCAATTCAGATTTATGTTCATAGAAAACATGTAACTCGATACAGTTACCTGCAATAAGAAACGAGGCACAAGATGTTACACTATATTTTGTACAGTATAATACTAAAAGCCGTTACATGTGTCAGATCAAAGTATATGCAATAACTTAATAGATTTTTAGAAGAAGATTTTTAGTCGTATTTTATAGGCTGCTTTTTTATATCGAGTATAATTTATACAAAAAGAATTATGTAAATAATAAGAATTAAAGATATTATGAAAACGTAACGTGGCCTCTGAAAGTATGTTTCCAACAAAAAAAAAAAAGAAAAATGAAAAAATTAATGAAATATACTGAGATCAGAAAGAACGTATCAACTATAAGATGTCTTCCACTAAGAAAAGTGTAAGTGTATCTGTATATATATCTATATCTATTATAACTTGTATACTCTCAATATGTTTCCTTTTGAGCAATATTATGTAGACTGTGTCTCGAAATTCTTTATATGTATGTTGTGTACTGGGAAAAGTATAAATACAAATCACGTAACACTGGAAACTGTACAGCGATAATGCAATTTTAAATCCTTATCTGTCAGGTGTTAACTGGTACAATAATTCAACTAATTCCTTGATCTTTATTTCGTAAGAGGTACAATATCTATTATTGAATTCAGTTTACTCACCGACAAGCTTTACTGCCTTGAACTTGTTAAATTCCGAAAAAAATACTTACTACAATGCAAGGAGTAAAAAAAGACGAAAGTATAAAAAACAATGGCTTCTATTCACTCATCACAAAAAGAGACTTCGCAAACGGCGGCCCACCCCTTGTCTATCGTACAAAATATTGAATTTATTAACAAACTGATTGATATTGTTGCAACCTTTTGTTATGATACCAAGGTAATTCATCAGACCAAAGTCGTTGCATTGCTGGAAAGATTAAATGATATAGTACACTAGACGAATAAGTAAATGATTGCTTATGGAAATAAATAGCAAACAAGTTCTCACATTATAAAAATCAGCTTTGAATTTGGCATTATTTAAAACTGGTAATCGATGTCCCAAAGAACACGCCGCTCTTAAAACTTCATGATTTCCTTTCAATTCACCACTCTGTACCGCTTGTACATATTTCAATACTAGCTTCACTCGTGAATGTAGCATTTTTATAGCGCTGTGCTGTGCAGTCAAATGTTCCGCAACTGTATACAATTTATTTAACATCATTATCATTCATGTCAAGCATCAAGAATCGAATAAAGATGCATTATAATACCTAAGGAACTTTCCCCTTGATCATTACTACACATTCTTGCTACATGATCAACACCGATTCTTTCTGCCTCCTCTGTAGCCAATGTATAAGTCAAGGGAACAAATAACATTGTGGCTTCACCATTAACTAAGTCAATCACCGATTCATACATAGAAATAGACAATTGCTGAAAAAAAAAAGAATAGTAATGGAGAACAGTGAGAATGGAAATGTAACGAAATGTCAAACTAAAACCCATACATCGGTATTTTTTGGTCTTGGATCAAGTTTCAATAATACAGGACTTTCATTGATCTCACAAAGTTGCTTATGCACTCTGATGTCCCTTTCATTGGGCATATCCCCTGTTGTATACCAGCCCAAAAAATCCATTTCGCTGAACACCTGTTTAAACTGTTCCTCCTTGGTGTTATAATAATCTCTGTCTATTATAACATCATCTCCAATACATGTGAACATAAGTTCAAAAGAGTTCATAATTTCTATATTACGTCCTTTTTGTTTACCAATCAGTGCACCATACACTGCAAATACAAAGGAATCGTAGTGAATATGCAATTCAGACTTCTGTCAATTTCCAAAGAAAATTTTCAGCTTTTTTGGCTGTGTCTGAGCAAAGTACACTACGATTAAAAAAATATACCCAATTGATCTGATCCTTCTTGAGCACGAAGCCGGGTCCAATGTTCACTGACATTCATTATAACAAGTGGATGAAGACTAATAGAAACAGATCCAACAGTACCCGAGGATGCCATCACTTTAATAGCACTCGATGAATTCGCCGAAGGGCCAGAATTTTTTTCAGCATTATCCTCATCAACTTCCATCGGTGTCTCCGACGGAGCCGCTGTGTTGTTTTCGTCAACTTCCATATCGTTTAACCACGTTTAACTGATTCGTATTTCCCTAAAAGTGTAGAGGACCTTTAACTTACAATACCCGAAAAAAGATTCAATGTATATAAACGACTGTACGATAATTCTTACTGGAAATAAAACCTTTTCGGTGATACTGCAGTATGCTTCTCTAAATAATACAACTGCTCCAAACTGCTCGACAAGATATTTTAGTTCATAAAGTCATGCTATGCGTTCTTTTGCAACCCTGTTCGACCTTATACATATATATGTAAGCACACACGGGGTACACACAAAAGTGTCAAATGAATCAACGTATTGATGAAAACGGTGTTTTGTAAAATAATAGTGTGGTAAGTAGATTGTGTAGACTGTGCTACGAATTTGAAAAAATCGTCCTTATTACGGTAGATTGGAAGTTGCTAGGGATTTTATTTTAGTAACAGCAGAAAATCACAAAGGCATTGTTCATGAAGCTGTATTGTCCTGCACACACGTATGTAATTTAATGAGATATTCTCGAAACGAAAGGACTTGAACTTGCGTACAATTACCTTCCAGTGCCGAATGTGAGAACGTGAGGTCACGGAGCCCCCGGTGGAGGCGCCATAGACCCTGCACGGTGAGAGCGTGGGGTCACGGAGGCCCCGGAGGAGGCGCCATTGATCACGTGGGGTGAAAGCGTGGGGTCACGGAGCCCCCGATGGAGGCGCCGTAGACCCTGCGCGGTGAGAGCGTGGGGTCACGGAGCCCCGGTGGAGGCGCCATTGATCACGTGGTGTCAGTCCGTGGGGTCACGGAGCCCCGGTGGAGGCGCCATAGACCCTGCACGGAGGCCCCGGTGGAGGCGCCATTGATCACGTAGGCTGAGAATGTGGGGTCACGGAGCCCCCGAAGCATGCTGAAGAGACCCCGTGTGCGTGAGATGTATGATGTAGAATTAGAATTTCAACGATTTATAAATAAAAGTACACACGGCTGAACTCAACGATAAATTTATAAATAAAATTATTTAAAAAACTTAGGATCGATAAATTAAACATCAAAACTGAACATCTGAAATAATCAATAAATTATTAACAAACTTCAATATT